TATCTTTCTGGGATGATGGTTTTTTAGCTATTTCATTGGACGATGATGTCTTCTTTTCGATTGAATATTCTTTAGGGATTTTTCCTCCATCGCCTTTTTCGGTATGATCCATTTTAAAAGAATTTGTTTTTGCTTTATCAGGCACGCTTTACCTAAATATCATAATTGAATTTCTTCTATGGGAATATTATTGACTGTTGGAGCACAATTACTTTTATAGCTATTGTTTCTATTTTGAATTTTTTACCTTTAAATCCATTTTCCGCGTAATACCCGTGGTGCCTGCTTAGGGCGCGCTATACATGCGCGAGCTGGAAATCAAGTCTTTTCTTTCTTTCAATTTTTATTTTAAGTATAAAAAGGATAGGTAGAGAATTATTAAAAAGTTAAACTTCTGTTTAAAGCTAATATTTTCTTTAAAGTGAACGCTAGCTATTTGCAAACAAATCGATTGATGTACGGTTTTCTCGTTTTTTTCAGAGTTTTCTTTCCATGTAAAGTGTTTTGATGTCATTATAGGGTCTTTTACCTCGAACTTTTCCATGAATTCCATTCTTGGCCTTTCTCTTTTGACGTTTCTTCTATATTCCCTATCACATAGATTTACAATCTTCATTTCCCGAGATATATTTTAGCCTCTTCTCTATATCAGCTCCTATTATAATTCAGACAAGCAACGATAAACCAATGGGAAAAATGCACTAGAAACAGAAACATATAAGCTTAAAGAGTTAATCATAGTTCCACAGTAGTTCCACACCAGGACAATTGCTACATGTCCTGTAGGTGCCATCTGGATGTCATTGCTTTATAATGTTTCATTCTGAGTCTTGGTATTGGTTTTGTTATATTCTTCTCTCAGCGATTAGGGAGGAATGATCTTCATTACTCAAAAATGTTTTTTAATCCTAAACCCAATCTGTAAAATCACCGTTCTAACCCCACCGTGTGTTTGCAGCCCACTTGGCTTCAAGATTTCCTGAAGATTGGCAGTCCCCATTTGCCGCTCATTTCATGAGTCAGGCAATCGGGCTTTCGTTGGGGTTCCTTGCCAGCTTCCATCTCTGTAGCTGGATCAAACTGGCAACCCTGGCTACACTCCTTCCCATCGCTGCTGGAATCTTCGGCCTCGTGGAACGTAGGGAGTCCCCAGGAGCCGCCATTACTTCCTCCTCGCTCTGATCATCCAATTTGCATAACCCACGACCAACTTGCATATTGGGTTCTTTCTCCAACTTTCGAATGTTGAAAGGGAGGATTTTCCTAAATCTCTTACATACGTTTCAAGATTCGTCATTCTATTTTCTTTTTTTTTTCTCTCTCTCTCTCTCTCTCTCTTTGTCTCAAATGGAAAATGTGGAATGTTTTCGAGACAGTTCACGCCTTAAATATTTTAAACTTTCATCATTTTTTTTTCCATTGTCGAATGAAGTAAAAAGGTGGTTTGCTTTAAAAATAATCTAATATGTTAAATCTACGTTATTGATCAAAATTAAATCCATTTTTTTTTAATTATCCCATTGTATAATTATACAAGGTCATATGGAGACTGAATTCATAGATCAAATTCACAATCTAGGTAGGGTTGGAATACAGATCCTGTCTTGAGGCTTCTATACATTCCAAGAGATGGTCTGGTGAGCCCTCTTTGGTCCTGTAGATGGTGCATTGTGTCTTTACACCATCCTGGAAGAGCAGTCTTGTATGGCTGCCAGTTTGAGCCTGGAAATACAGGTTGCTGCTTGTCGGTTCATCCCACATTCCAGAATAGCTCCAGGATTTTTTGTTTTAGATACCAATGATGGGATATTGACTCCTGTGTTTGGAACCGAGAATGGTTGATTCCTGAATGTTTCTTTATGTCGATATTTGAAGGATTCAAAATCAAGGTCTGAGTTAGGTATTGATGCTGATTTTGCAATCACATCTGCTGTAAATCCAAAGAATACTATTGTGATCTCTAATAGGACTTTTCAGAAAATTAGAGGCGTCCGTTGAAGGAATTTACCAGATTTCTTGGTTTCTTTATAAATGATGAAAACTTTATAAATTTAGCGTTATGGGGATGAAAACGTATTATAAACATAATCCAGACTTTATAAATTCAGATTAAAAAACTG